GGGTGGGGTGGGGAAATGTTTGTTGTTTGCTTTTTTACAGTTACTTGAAGCTGTGCAGTTTTTTGCTTTTCTGTTCCCCCCAAACTTCTATTTTTTTCCTCTTCCCATTCAGATTCAGAAGAAATAGACAGAAAAAGAGCAAGAGTGAAGAACAGCGAAGGGGGTGATGTACCACAGAAATACTTCGTTGTCACAAATAATCAGCTTTTACGAGTTAAATACTTGCTAGTATATTCACAAAAACAGCATAGGAGGTAAGAGTTCAGCTATCTAGAGTGATGAGCATACTGTTAACAGACAGATAAACACATCACATTTTTGATAAACAACAGAAAGAGATGCTGCACTGCCAGAATTGATTTTAGCTTGGTTCCTGTGAAAATAAGGCTTACACCATGGTGTTGCCTGTGTCTCACTCTTACACTCCCAGGCTTAGCTAAATTTGCTTTTTCACTATGCCTGTAAGCACTTAGTATCTTTGAGAGCTCTAATAATCTGCAGCCGGAAACAAAGAGTGAAGCACTGATGAGTGCAACTCTTCAAAGTAGGACAGTTTTAACACTGCCTTTTTCTGTCCTGAGTGGCAGCATTCACCCAGCCAATCAATGTGTGTGTACAGGCCAGGCAGTCACAGCTCCAAACCACAGAGAAAGGTGTGAACACAAGGGAAAGAACAGGATTGTGCATGGAGACTTTGGGAAAGGGGATGGGAAACCAGGATTTGTTAGTTACAGGGGTGATGGAACAACTTTCTGCTTTTACTCCATTAGCTTAACCATTTAAAATAAAGATACTATTTGCCAAGGTATTTGTGCATCTCTGACAGAACTCATGCACTTTTCCCTTTTCAGGCCTTCTAGTCAATCTTCCTGGTTTTACACCCACCGTTTCGCTGTCATGATGATGCTGTACCTACTGCTGCTAATAGTGATAGGGGCCAGCAACTCGCCAACCTTCGTCTACTACTGGCACAGAATGTTTGACTCTGAGAGATGAATTGCCCGAGATGATAAATTGTTATTTTCACCACGTGCCTTAATAATAGCCAATCTGCAATGCACTGCATCTGCTCCAGAGCTCTGGAAGTAAAGGTGCCTGGAGCTTTCCAGTTCTGTCACCAATATATTATCCTCATGGCATCTTTCCATTTATTCTAATTTCTGTGTTCCTGTGATTCATGAGGATGCCCAGTACAACTGAAAAGGGTCGCAGTGGTGCAGCTTAGTGTGAACCAATTATTAAGGGTCCATGGGAAAAAGTTAAAGTTAGTAAGTGTGGAAACACTCAGGTGTTTCAAACTGTCAAACTGAGGTATGTTTGCACAAGTTAGAAAGGAGGATTTTTCTGAATGTCAGGCAAAGCAACCTGTAGGGAGTCTTACCAGTTTCTTTTCAGAAACTGAATTTAGTGATGTTTAGCATGTATCAGTGCAGATGGGATCACTTTTAAAACTAACTTTGGCTTTGGCCAGGAATTTTTATATTTGAGCATAATGATTGTAAGAAAACAACAAGAAATAAAGATCAAAATGGAAGAAATTAAGTGGTTTCTAGTATTTCCCCTACCCCTTATAAATCATCTACAAGATTTGTGCTGTCATCCGTGATCTGTCTTGTCCTTGGTTAACATGCAGATCAGATAATGTCAGGCCCTTCAGTGTCAGTACTGAATAAGGGTTATTCCTATCAGACTGCCTTTTCTGTACCGAGAAGAGGGAAGGTGAAGGATTCCAACTTATGCTGCCACCTGACAAGCTTTTTGGGGTGGGGCTGCCTAGGGTTTGGGATCTGGTTTAACATTTTTGCTTGTACTGAACTTTTTCAGCCTCCCTTTATGAACAAATGGACTAACTAGCAGTACATCCCAACTTATGTCCTGAAACACTTGTAAGAAAGAGTAAAATGGCAGCAGAAACCATAGGGTTGTATTTTACCTCTGTGAACACTTTCAGTATAGTTAACTTCACGTAGACTTGACTTAGGCCACCATGTACCAACCTGTGCACAATATGGTACGTTTGTAAGACAGACTGTCCACACTTAAGTTCTCACAAAGAGGTTGAGTTTTCTGTGGTCAGAATTATGGCAGTTAATGCTGTTTGCAAAGTGCTTTGGCTTAACTCTGGTGTGTAACACCTCAGCATCTCAGACTAATCTTTTCTAATCTTGAAGAGCATTTTGGGGGTTTGTTTGGAAACACACATATAGGTATGTTAGTTGTGCAACGTAAACAGGGCAGCACTCTTCCCTTCCTGCCCAAGTCCTTTGCATTTGCTGTTGTTACAAAGCAACCTACAACTACCTGAAAAAGGAGCAAAGGACAGTCCTCTGATTAGTGCCTGGGTATGGAGTGAACCTGATGAAGAGCCCAGGGATTTAGGCAAAGAAAAGTTAGATATGTGCCACAGTTCAAGCTCGCAGTCTAGCTTTTACTAGTAGACTTGATAAACGCAGATTTTCATTGCACAGTGAACCCTAACCACACACACAAAAAAAACCCTCATCACATATTTCCAGCAAATGAGTCTATGATTACTACCTTACTCATTAAATATTTCAAAGAAAATCTCGTCTTTCTCTGATGTTGTTCTGGTACCTAATTGCCAGAAATAATGACCTGGTAATCAGGTTTTCTAACTCAAGGCTGAGAATGAGTTCATTTACAGCAACCCCTCTTCTTGGTAGATGGAGCTAGAAGCATTTATTCCAGTTAATTTTGCTGCCAGAACAAATTTATTTATTCACCATACAGCTTGCAAAACAAGAATATTATAATCCAATTCCCCATTGCCTTTTACAGTCGTTAATAATGCTCACTGTTAAAGCACATTGCATTGCCTCAGCCCAAGAAATGTACATGCTAATTATAGTGTTGATTTGCAATTAAAATATACATAAACTAACAATTTATTGCACAGTGGATTCAGCTACTTTGTAGCAGTTTACTCCTTGATATTCCAATGCAGAAACTTGAGGTTTGAGACTTGTACAGGGTTCCTGGGAATATTTGCCCATTTTTGGTCCACTTCAGCATGTTGTATATAATGTTGGGCCATGAATCTGTCATTTTAGGGTAGGTGATGTGCCAGCCAGAAAACCAAGAGGTATTTGATGCTATCTAAAGGGTATTGTGTTGTTAAAAGGCTGCTACTTCTGCAAATGAAAGACTTCTCAGAGCAGATGGGCCATTGGGGGCCCTTTGGAAAAGGGGGTTCAGCAGCAGTTGTGTGATGGGTGCACTGCAGAGAAAGGCCCAAACCTGGGAGTCTGCAAAAGGAACAGATGGGGAGGAACACAGCAGGGTTTTGAGGCTCTTTTCTTAGAGTTTCTTTGCATAGGAATGTTTCTGAAGAGTAAGCAAAAGGAGTGAGCACATAGTGCTGAACGGCTGCTATCTCCTAATGTCTGTCTGGGCTTTTATTTGGCTCTAAACAGTTCAGCTGAGCTCTTCCCAAGCATGGGGCAACAGCACGGGTGCAGGGTGCTAGTTCCCAGGCTGATCTGCTGCACCAGCTGCTCCAGGCTATATCGCCAAAGAGAAAAGGATTGCAGGGGCTCTCTCAAGGCAGACACACACAGTCCAGCACTGCAATTAAACCAGCAGGTATCAAAGGAAAAAAAGTGGCTTTTTCTGCTTTGAACCCTTTGAATAGACCCAGAAGAAAGAGGTGGCTGCAGGTAGGGGCTGAGTCCTGATGAACATGTCTCAAGTGCCCCTCAGAGGGCTTGCAGTCCCATCCCTCATGCTCCCAGACCCTCAGGGATGCTGGGCACAGGCTCCGCCATGCTTCAGCTCCACATATGTGAGGCAAGGTAATGCTGTCCTCAAAGCAAAGGAAAATACATTTAAGGTGCTCAGATTCTACCTTAGCAGGCTGGTGAAATACTTAATATCCTAGTCCCACGCTTGTTTTCTGTGCTCCCTGCTGATTTCAGCATGTGTTTCCCAACGTGGCGAGATGCAGTCAGCTGAATTAATGCGAGTATTGTGCTGAGTAACTAACAATATTATGAATTAACCCAAGGTTCACATTAACCTCTTAAGCCACTTGCGTGGCTCTTTGAACATGCACAGTACTATAAAAATGCTAATGGGGAATGAATCAGAATTTCCTCCCAAACAAAGGACCGCTGTGTCTGAAGCAGGCAGCCCAGGGTGAGGTCGAGGAGTTGTAAAATATAAAGCTATCTGTGCTTATTAATATGATCGTTACATTACTGTGGTGAATATTAAGGAACTGTTACCAAGTCAGACAAATCTGATCCTGCTGTGATTGCAAGGAAGAGCATGGCAGGTGGTGTTTCACGGGGGGAATGGGCAGGTTTTGGGAATTGGGAGAATTTTCCTTCCATAAAGGGAAATAAATATATTTATATATAAGTGGTTTTATATAAAATATACATATGGAGAGCTCTTAGAAGCCAGCTGAGGAGGAAGGCAGATGCTGTGGGAGACCAGGGGTTTAAGACAACGTGGGGAGAGAGGGAACCACTGCAGAAAGCAGGACCACCCCTGGGGCGAGGAGGAGCAAGGCTCTGGGTTTCACACTCCTGATGAGTAGTGCAAAAATCTTTTGCTCTCTAAAGTATGAGGGGATTTAAGAAATGCAGAATCAGAACTGTGGCAATATTCAAACCAGGCCTGGGCTTCGGTCCACCTCTGACAAGACCTAGACCCTGGTTGATCCCCAGCTCCCCCGGGGAGGTGCCACCCACCTGCTTGATCCCCCTTTCTGTCTACGTTGGGCACACAGCTTGGCAGCACACTCTTTTAGTGACATTTTCCTTCTATCGTGAAAGCTGTCACTTTGGGCACCTTGCCCACACTCTAGGCTTCCCAAAATGTCAGCCTTGAGCACCAGCAATGGGAAGGAAGGTATCGAGAGGCGGGCAGAAGGAGCAGCACTGGAGTGCCTGCAAGCATCCCGAGGGATGTACCATGCTTCCCCCGAGGACTGAGGTACATATTATTACCAACATCCCAATTTTCCTGCTCTTCACCTAAGGCCAAACCTGCTTCTGCCCTCTGACCGTACCCTTGGGGTGGAGAGGTGGTGGGTCCCTCCCACAAGGGAAAAAATGCTTCTTGCTCTTCAGAGAAGGTCTCCAAGCTCTCCTGCTGCCATGGAGGATGGAACAAGGGGCCTTAAGTGAGTGAACAATGCCAGACCTGTTCTCTCCCACCCAGCAGAAAGCAGATGAAGACTCTTTTCAGGAGATTAAAGATACCTTCCTGCTTATATAAGGCTTCCCAGAAAACCAACACACCTTCAAGCTCTGCCTCCCATTAGCTATTATCAGTAATATAAACAGAGAGACCAAATGAGTGTCTGATGAATAAATTAGCTTCCCCTACTGCAAGTAATTCCCATCACCTTACAAGAAACTTTCTTTTGCACTAGTCAAGCCAAGCCATCCTGGCAGCAGCAAGCCCTGCTCCTGTTAGCACTGTGTAATTAACCTTGAGCAGAACGAGCCCAGGAAAGCCAAATGGCGATTACGCATCTCATTGGAGTTTGGATGCTTCCTAAAGGGCTCATGCTAATTCCTACCAGTTGGCCTGGGCTCCTACAGCTCTAATTGAATTTTTTTCTCCTTGGGTAGCATATTTAGCATAAATTATAGTTTGCATGGGGAAAGGCAAGTACTCACACCCATCCACAGCTTGGCATCACCCTGAGCACTGTAGCTTCCTGTATTCTCACTGGCCAGCCTCAGCCAACCTGCAAACACCACTTGCTACCTCTCCAGTTCTAGTAATTTGTTAGCTGGGGCACTGGGAGACCAGTATAGATCCTTTCTGACTGATAGGGATCCAGCCTCTCTTGGAGAAAACCCCCTTGGTGCCCAAAAATTTGCTTCTTTGGTGGGAGACATCTCCCAGCTTCCCTACACATTCAACCACAGCAAGTCAAGAGTGGTTTTAAAACAAAGCTCTTTCATCCTGATAAAGTCCAGGTGTTCATTCAAAACTGCAGTCACCACAGAAATGCCCAGGCAACTGCCTCCTGCCAAGTCCAGAGCTCCTGAGCTACCCAAAGATTTCACAAAACCAGAAAAGTAAATCCACCTAGCTCAAAAAAAAAATGCCTCTTCAAAAGCAAAAATGCATTTAATAACAATCAGCAGAGAATGAACAAAGAAATAATTCACCATTTCTAATTACATGGAAAGGAACAACACAGTTGAATAAACCCATCTCTTCAACCTACACTCAGAGAAGAGACCACCTTCATAAGCAACTTCTGGCACATTGGTGAAAAGGAAAAAATCCATTTTACTCACCACAGCTCAGCTGATTCCTCCAACAGCCTCCCTTGCTCTCATAGTGCAGCTAAAGACTATCAGCACCCACCTGGCACCAATGGATGTTGATGGGCCCCTCTGTGCACAGGTGCTTCCCATCACCTTCCTCATTGGGATACCCCAGGCATCACCTGTGGAGTGGCTGCACCCACCCTGCTCAGGGCAGAGGTGAGGTGCTGGTGTTGGGTCAAGTCATTAAGGTAAAGACATATGTGTATAAATGAAAGAGGAAAACAGAGAGGAGAAAATGTGGGGTTTGCTCCCATCAGCCTGTGCTGGCTGCTGGGGAAAGCCTAGTACGTGGTCTGAGACCTGCCAGATGATGCTCTGGAGAAGGGTTGGGGATAAAGACAGACAAGAGGGGCTGGGCTATGTCACCCTCAGGTTACCCCAAATACTCTCTCTCCTGGTCAGCATTGTGTCTCAGAGAGTTGCTATGTAAGGATGTGTTCCTACCACCCCTGCATGCCAGAACAAGGCATCAGGGACTGTTTTCCCTTCTGACTGTGTTCAGAAAGAGAAGAAACCCCATCCCATCCCACTGTGATTCTTCATGCACCTCGTGCCCAAGCCCCTCCATCCTCACAGCACCTTCTCCCTCCCACCATGGAGTTAGCCCAAGGGGACTAGTGCCTCTGCGTTAGTCACTCCCCAAATATTTACATCCTTCCCAGGGCTTCACACACAGCTGTGGGATAAGCAGGTAGGCTCTGAGCCAAGAGAACCAAAATTTCCAGAGACCCTTTCCTACAGTGGGTGGAGAAAATGGAGTAAAAGCCTGTGATTGCACCTCTGCAGCCTTTCAGGGTGACACAACATAGCATTGTGCATCTGTGCAGCTCTGTACTTCAGTGTCAGTGCAAAGGGCACTTATAGATTGGACACCCTGAGAGACATGGCCCTGGGCCATGGAGAAGCCATCATGTCTCCTCCCAAGAATTGATGCTGGAAGTGTGGCCAATGCTTGATCCCAGAATTAGGGCTAGAGTATGCATAGGGTACAAAAAGGATGGTTTTCTAATTGCCACAGGGCTGCTAGAATATAGAAGAATGACACCCAAATGTTTTTCACCCTGAGTACAGGCAGGAGACACTTCCAGTTTCTGGCCAGAGACCCTCACCCACCAAAGTTGGGTCACAAACCTCCTTACGACAGTCTCCAGAATGATCCTATGGGACAAAGCAGCCCCCAGAGCTGTGCCTCCTGTCTCCTTGTGGGTATGTCTCTTCAGCAGACTGTGTTGACAGTTGTCCCATTGGAGCCCCCTGATGCCACCCCACCATTTACAGCATCATCCTTTATGTTCTTCTCTGAGACTGAGATGGGCTTGTTTCTCTCGTGCCTGGTAATGGCTGTTTCAATGCCCCTGAGACACAACTGCACGTCTTCCCGAAAGGAGGGGGTGTACAGTCCATAAATGACAGGGTCAGTGCAGGTGTGCAGCAAGCCAAAGAGAAAGAAGCTGTGGTTGACATACTCCGGCATCTTCTGGATCATGGCTGGCTGGAACCAGTACCACAAGCCCAGGAGGTAGTATGGAGTCCAGCAGATGATGAAGGTGGCAACAATCACTATGGTCATCTTAAGAGTCTTCATACGTGCCTTGGAGATGTGGTCATTTTGATTTCTTATCAAACCTGCCAGGGGGAGTCAAAAGGATAGCTGGAGATGGGAGAAAACCAAAACATAACCATCTATGACTGTGCTTCTGCCAGAGAAGGGATACCACCAGGCCATGGTCTGGTCCATGGCCCACAGGAAGCAGAACACAGCAAGAAGGCGAGTCAAGAAGTTTGTGTCAAACCCCTCAGGTTACTCTTCAATGGGTGTTGGCAGAGATCCAACAATGCTCCAAGCTGGAGCAGGGTCAGTCATGGAGTCATGGTAGTCACTAAAGGGCTAGAACCTGCTTACCTTTGTTGATCTTTAGCTGCTTACTGATCTCCCAAATGATCCGGATGTAGCAAACGATCATGACGCTCAGGGGGGTGATGTAGAGGGTGGTGAAGGTGAACATGTTGTAGACGGTTTCCTCCCAGTGAGCTCGGAAGCTCCCATGAGTAACACACTGGGTGAAGTTCCCTCCTGGGATTGTGTGCAGGTGGAAGAGGAAAAGCTGAAATGGAGAACAGAATAGTAAGTCAGAGAGGCTTTGGGAACAAGGCACCACATCCTGGAGATGCTCCTGGCTGTGCATGGAGAGCACCTCCCTGCTGCTGTTGGACTGGGAGAGGCTCTCTGGGCACCTAACTCATGGCTATGGCCAGGATGGGTGGGATCTGATGCCTGTGAAATCCCATTTTCTGGCCATACCACATGTTATTTTGGTCAGGAACTGCTCAGGTTTGTCTTGAACTGCTCCAAGATGCTTTGCAGTAGTCCAGTGATGCATTTTTAGAAGATAACAATGTGCATTAGGAATAAAAGATAGTGGACACAATTTTTGCCCAGCCCTTAGCATAACACCCTGAGTGGTGCTATAAGGAAGGTGCTGAGCACCCAACGCAGCAACCACACTGCTTTGCTCAGCAAAGCCAAGCCAGTGATGGTGGAGCCCGTGGATTGGGATGGACCCTAGGGGGCTGTGGTCATGGAGAAGCCCTTCTCCAAAACCACCCCTGCCAGGGCAAATCCCATGGGGAGGGCACCAAGCCCTACCTGGGGCAAAGCCAGAAGCACGCTGCCAGCCCAGGCAGCACGGAGCAGCAGCCCATTGCGGCGGCGAGCGCGGGAGAAGGGGTGGAGGACGGCCGCGTGCCGGTCCAGGCTGATGACCACCAGCACCAAGGCAGCCGCGTACATGGCGAAGAGCTTGAGGAAGTTCAGAAGTTTGCAGGAGAGGTCCCCGCCGTACCACTGCACCGTCACGTTCCACGCTGCATCCAGGGGCATCACTGCCACTGTCACCAGCAGGTCAGCCAGCACCAAACTGAGGATCAGCGGCCGCACATGGGATTTCCTCCTCTTCCTCAGCAGGCTGCCGAGCACCACCATGTTGCTGCCTGCCGCCAGCAAGAAGAAGATGGCCGTGATGATCACGCGAACCCTCGCCGCTTGCGTGAACCGAGGCTCGACCCAGTGCTCAGGGCAGCCAGAGGCTGAGACGTTGGTGTCCCCCTCCATGGCAGGGTGGCAGGGAGACGTGGGGGGCTGCTCGTCACTCATCCCCTGCCGAAATGCAAGCGGCAAAGTGAACCCCCTCTTAGGGACTGTGTCATGTGCTGCAGTTTCAATATAAGGAGAAATGGGGAAATGGTGGGATCTGCACTGGAGGAACCAGCAGCAACCTGCCAGTCCTAGCCTGTCCCTGCCTGTCCCCTTCGTGTTGCCTGTTTTGCCAAAGCACTGCACCTCCCGACTGCGGTGATACTGCCCAGCTGCCCTCTTTGGCTAACCCCTGCCGTAGCTATAGTGATTGCTCTCACAGACATATATTTTTAGCTCTTTATGAGGCGGTTAAGCAGCTGGGAAGCGGGAGCGGTGGCCAGGACAAGCTGCTGCCCACCAGCACCCAGATGGGAATGGGTCACACCGGAGCTGGCTGAGCCTGTGCTGGGGCGGCCGTGCTCAGTTCAAGGACTCATCCTTCCAACGGGGCTTTGCAAGCAGGGATCAATGTTTTAGAAACCTCACAGCACTTTCCATTAGTGTGTTAAACCTTAATGGTCCACATCCATCTCCAGCACCAGACCTGAGGCTGTGGGTGGGAGCAACTGGAGGCCAGGAGGGGAAAAGGGGGATCCCACACTTTCTGGGGACTGACAATGGCTCTCGGGAGAGGATCATGGTAGCATTTAGGAGCCTGGACATTCCCAGAACCTGGGCAGCACCAGCTCAACACCTCTGTCCCTTTGCCTTCTGGAGGCAAAACAGGAGGAGGAGGTAAAGGTAGAAACACACCCACATGGGGGGTGGCTCAGGGGTGATGAGCAGCGTGGGAGTCCCCCATGGCTTGATTTAATTGCCCTTTTTGCCTGAGCACAACCAGCTTGGGGACAACTTATGTTTCAAGGGCAAATACTTCCAACTCTTAGGGACATGAGCTGTTAACGGTTCCAGCTGCAGGTAGGGTATGTCTCTTTCAAGCACCTCCTGGTTTGCTAGTACCAAAATAAAGCCTTCCCCACCTTTGCACAAATAACACAAGCAGCAGAGATCAAATCCATCTCCCCAGCCCTGCGGGATGGAGATGCTGACACCTTGCAACAAACCACCCTCCTTCAGCTCCACCACCTGTGCACTGAGCCCCTGAGTGAGCCCCTCTGCTGCCTTCACCCCCCTCCCTCCTCACAGACCAACCCAATGAGCAAGCAGTGTAAAGAAAAAACAGTTTAAAAGTACCAAACTGCTTGCTGTCTGTCTGGAAGAAACAAGGGGAAGCCCATGTCCAGGTCTGGATTTGTCCCAGCTGATGGGGAACATACCTGGCATACGCATGCCCTGACGCTGAAAAGGTGCTCCTTGGCTTTCCCCATGGGTCTTCCACTGCCGCGGTGCCGAGTCAGGATTCTCCAGTGTGTCTTTGCATCACATCATTGCAACAAACCCCTCGCAGCAGCAAAATTTCCCTTCACTGCCAGCCAAGCCGGGAGCTATTGCTGTATTTAGCCCAGGCGTACGCAGGCATCAGGAGATGGCAACGCTGATGCAAACATCCCCTGCACTGGCAAAGCAGGAGCGGGGCGTGTGGAGGTGGGCACCCACCGGCAGCCAGGTGCAGGCAGCTGCCGGTGTTTCACCCCCAGGCAGGGGCCACCACCCCCGTCCTTGTGGGCTTAATGAACTGCTCGATTTCAGGCTTAATGAGCAGGCAGTGGGGATGATGACAAAGCTGCTGTATTGCAAGAAATGGCCAAAATTCAAGATGGTGTGGCCAAATGTGGCCCCATCAGGGATAAGTGCCAACACTCCCTGCATCGGATTTCTATAAATACAGGAAAATGAGTTAATTATCCCTGGAGTTAGTGATGAACGCCCCGTTGCTCAGACAACCAGGAGACTCACAGCACACACAGACACACAAACGCCCCAGCGATGCTCCTGGATCACACAGGTCGGTGAGAGCATCACGGATGAACACAGGTATGTGCCTGGACTGGAACTGCTTACGGAGGGAATTAATAAGGAGAAACTTGGGTCATTTTGCCATTTTAATAATACACTTTTTTCTGCACTCTATCAGCTCCCACCTTGTTCTTTTGTATTTCTTTCAGCATAACGCAGTGAGAGCTCAATGTGCAGTGTGAAACCCTGGGAGGGACAAAGAGCTCACAAGAGCTTAAAAAATATGAGGTGCAATGCAGGGAGGGAAACTGAGGATACCTTGCTCCTTTGGCCAGCAAAAGAGCTGTGGGGATGACAGAGGGCCAGCTTCAAGCCCTGGTGAGGCCGGTGCCAGCACACATGCTCCCAGGGGCATCGCAGGGACTTTAATTACATGGAGGCAGACCTTCACATTCCCCAGTCTATTAAATTAAGAAGTACACAACGTACAGCAGGACCACAACTAAGATGGTCCCAGGCTGGCAGTGGCAGCTCTGCATTGTTCCCTGAGAGACTGAGGTTTGTTTTCTGGGATAGGAGGGTTTCTGTCGTTAAACCTATTCCCACATATTTTGGGGGCAAAATCACTGAGCTCCAGGAAGCGGCTGCCCTGTCTTTGAGGCTGCTCTGCTTGCAGGAGTGTTCCTGGGCACAACAAAAAAGGATTTTTTTTCCCTTTTGTGGGTTTAAGCATCAAATTGTGTGGCAGAGAAACGGGTTCCTGAGACTCAAGAGATGCTGCAGCTGCTGGACCACATCAACCCCTGAGGAATCAGAGTCTCCCAAACCCTCCATTGCACCTATTTCACCTCTCAAAGGGACCAGGCTGGAAACTCTGCGCAGAGCCACAGAACTCAATTTATGCACTGAAAGTGCTTTATATCTGAGGGGAAAGAGAAAAGCAGACCCACCCCTGGCACTGCCAGCCCTCCACCTAAAATGTGGCCTCAAGCTGAGAGGGAAGGGACACTGTCCTGCCAAGACTCAGTTTCGAGGCTGATTAACAGCTGGCATCAACGACGTCCCTCTGGAAGGGGCTACCAGCCACTCTGGTCTTGCCTGAGCCTGGCTGAAACCCTAAAGCCACCATGGGCAGAGCAGGAGAGCAGGTGGCCAGCAAGCACCAGCCACCCCTGCCATGCCAGAGGGGACCCTCCCCACCACCTCCTTACCTGGCCAGAGCATCACCTGCCAGCACCATGGGAATGAGACAGGTCCTTGGGGGAAAAAAAAGCACAGAAACCACAAAGAAGTTGGGTGGAAGCCTATTTATTACAGCAGCCAACTCCTTCTCGCATGAGTCTCCTGGTTAGAGCCGAGATTAATGTGGCCCCACATGCTCATCCTTATTTTTCCTTTCATTTAGTTCTTTGCACCTGCACTAAAAGCAATTAAATAGCAACTCAGGAATGTATTCCCTGTTTGTCCTCCTTCCCGGCTGGCTGCCTTTTTGTCTAGAAATGTCCTCTCCATCCCCGACTGTATGACGCAAGAGGGACAGGATTTTTCTTGGGAACTGTAAGCCTCACTCATGCCACAACAAAGCCTTTGGTCCCTGTTCAGAGAGGATTTTTTTAGCATGCCATCATGCAGAAATGTCCTGGGCATGTATTAGCAATAAGTCTTCTTTTAAGGGTGGGGTCCCTTATTAACATTACTATTTTTCTCCAGCATTTGCACAGTAACCCCCTTGTGTTTTCTCTTTTTTTTTTTTTTTCTCATCTCAAAGGTCAGCTTGGATGTTGTCTGCTCAGCAGCCTTCAGCTGAATCTCTGAACACTGGTTTAACAATCAGAGGTTTTTGGTCCCCAGGATTAGGAAACACTGCTGGCAGGCAGGGCTTGTTTCCATACACCCCGGCTCGGCTCTTTCCGAAATCCCCTCCTTTTGGGCTGCTGCCCCAGAACATCCCTGGAGCTGCAGCCCAGTGCTTGGTCACAAGGAGTCAGAGCATCTCCAGGCATCCCCAAATACGACTTTTCTCCCCAAATCCATACATATCATCCCAGGATGCTGGAGAAAGCAGACACCCAAAAGCCACAACAGGTAGCACAGGCTCAGTGGCAATTTTTGTGTGAGCAGACCTTAAACAAAAATGCCAGTTGTGTTTCTCCATCAGACATCCCATGTAAATTGGGATCTCATTCAGGGAAAGCGGCATGGGATATAATTTCCATTAACCTAGTGCAAATGTAGGGCAGGGAACCGGCTGCCATTTATCCTAATAAATCACCACCAGGGTCTTGGCTTCACAAAACAGAAAAACTTGTATTTTCACCTCGGAGAGAAGCTCCTGCTGCTGGGCATTATGGGGGACAATGATTGCTCTTTTTCAAGCAGAGCCATCCTACACAGCACCCATCACCTACACCCTCACCCCCAGCACCCTCATCCCAGGCAGGTGCTTCTGCCTGGCTGGCATCCAAAAATTCCCCTTTGCTCAGAAAAACCTCGTGATTTCAGAGTTTTTAATGCTGATCTTTTTTTTTTTTTTTTTCCCCCTCCAATTCTTCTTCTCCTCCTTCAAACCTTGAATTGTCTCAGGAGCAGCTCATCCAAGGAAATTTTTGTCTCATATTGGACTTGAAACAGAAAGTCTAGTCAGGGACATCTGACATGCAGTGTTTTTGTGAGTAAATACCAGCATCCATGAAGTCATTTCCCAGGGTTAGAAATGAGCTCACCTCTGGAACGGCTTCTCTTCTTACCCAAAGTTCACAAGTCAAGTGGTTGTGAAGCTCCCAGTTTTCATCCTTATTAAAAAACAGTATTGGGGCTGTGTGCAGCATGGTGCCACCTCCAGCTGTATGACACAGATGGGTCTGTAGCAGGGCATCACCCTAAATTCCCTGAAATCTTTGCAGCAAAAGGCAGAGGACCAAAGCTCAGCAGTCACTGGGGATAAACCACCATCTCATTCTGTCTGCTCACCCAGCCCTGGCTGCTCTGCCGAGCCTGCCAAGAGGGACAAGAATTGCTGTCCCTCGTGGGGATAATCTGGGTCATTCTGGCCCCCTCCTAAAAGTCCTTGTTTAAAACAGAGGGAGGGATCTCCTCTGCCCACCAGGCTCAATATCTTGATACACTGTGTCTTTGGACCATTTCTTGGTGAAATAACATGCTGTTTCTGCTTCAGCTTCGTATATCAAAACCTCGCTGGAGATCTCACCAGTAAAAGCCCTTCTCCAGGGGGTATCATGCCATCAGACAGCAGCGCTGAGAAACACATGCTCTCAATACTCAAACCCACTGCAATTCCCCTCTTTTAATACTCTGGCTGGTGCTCCTGGTGTTGCTGAACCCAGCACATCGTGCTGAACATCCAAGTCACAGAGCCAGCCAGGATGGTGTAAAGGGTGAGGACTCCACTGGCAGGAGAGCCCAGATGTCCTGAGCATCATTTCCAAAGGTTCCCCAAATTTACATCTTCCCATGCGGAGCAGCAGCTCTCAGGGTCTTTCTTCCATCTTTCACCAGGACATCTCGATGAGAGCAAAATCCCCCTTCCCCATCTCTAAGATAGACAAGAAGAAGAGTTAATTTATCACCCTAGACCAAACTCTAAGGTCAAGCTCCAGAAAATGTGGTGAGCTTTGGTGCTGAGCCCTGTCTGCTCACTGCCAAGAGATAGAACCTGTGTGTGTGCATCGCCACTCCACCCACAATTCATCTTTCCCACAGCAGCTTCACTTCCTTGCCCTGGCTGGAAACCCCAGCTGGGGGGATTTGTTTGGGAAGTCTCACCCGGGACCCCAGTCCTGTGATGCTCCTGTCCCCAGTAAACCAGGAAAATCACCCATAGGGTCGATGGAGGGGCCATGGATCCCCTTCAGCTCTGGCACATGCTGACCCGGCCAGGGCTTTTGCTGCCCTAACTGGGTATTTTTCTTGAGCTGGAAGAAATTATGAAATCCCAATGTTTTCACTGTGACTAAACCATGGAAGTGAACAATTTTGCTCTTGTTTTTGGATGGGTTTTAGTTGCTCTCCTTGTCTTTGCCTTTCATGCCCTCTTATATCCTCTGCTTTTTTTTTTACTCCCTGTGGGACCTGCACATTGAGTTGCTCCAAACATCAAATATTCTCCTCTCTCCACGCTCCCAAATTGGATTGTGTGTCCCAAGGCCATATTTCAGTGCTCCCTTTGGATGCTCTTTCCCAAACACGGGCCAGACTCAAGGGCTGGTTTCTTTCATTTCACTGTGGTAGAGATGCGATGTGGGGAGAACTGAAAGCCCTGTGGGACCCTCAGCAGCATTACCTGGGACTTGCAGGAGTGAGAAGCAGGGAAAACCTCCCCCAGAACCTCTTTGCCCCGCGCTTTGTATCTGCAAGCAGTTTTCAAGCCTTAAAAACACCATTGGGTGAGCTTTATGCAGGGACATGACTGCTTTTAGGGAAAGATCAGTGGTGGGGAGAGATGCCATTACTGTTGAATTAAATGAGCTGATGGGATATAATTTCTGCTTCCCTGCCCTGTTTTTATCCTCCTGCAAGAAACCTGCTCTGAGCTGAGCCCTGGGTCTGGGGGACCCTGGTGTCCCTCAGGATGAGCATCTGTGCTGACCTCTCCGCCGGGCTGGATGTGGCCTCTGGGGGAGGCGTTTCTGGGAGGCAGTGCTCGATCCAATGCAGGGAGCATTGTGCTGAGTTTCTCTCGGAAGAGCTTACCTCCCGTGCTGCCTTCACGACCTGCTCCTGCCAGTTTTCATCTCAGCCAGTCCAAGCTACTCACACCAGGTGGCTGCCAGCCCTCCCCTTCGCCAGCGCTTGGCCCCCACCAAACACTTCTGCCTGCACTGTCAGCAAACCCACATTTACCCTCTGGCGAAAGCTGATACAGCCATGACCGCCCCAGGCAGA